TATATATGTATATGTATATATGTGTATATATGTATGTGCTCAAACCTGCCTCTGTAAAATATGCACCCACTGAAATCTCTCAGCATTTTTTAAAAATTCTCGGCACCACCTCACTCCTCCTGTTGAATGTTTTCAGGGTAAACTGATGGATGGAAAGGTGATTGACACATCTCTATCCCGGGATCCTCTTGTTGTCGAGCTGGGGAAGAGGACAGTCATCGCTGGTAAGTTAACGAATGACAATCCTTAAGAGCAGCTCTGTCAGACTGATTAGCTTATATTACATAATTAGTGGTGGGCGTGCTTTTTATACTGATCGAATGTCTCTGTACAAATTTCATATCAGGTCTGGAGCAAAGCTTGATTGGCATCTGTGAAGGGTAAGTGAATAGCAAACCAGTTAATTCACGATGCATGCCGTCACAAATCAGAAATACCAAAGTGGATAGTTTTGAAGTGAATCTGAGGAATGCTTCCTGTATGTTTCTGTTCTCTCATTCAGGCAGAAAATCAAAGCCACTATTCCCTCTCACCTCGCATATGGAAAGAAAGGTTACCCTCCAACAATTCCAGGTACTAGACTAGAAATATCCTACAGCACATGGCAGCGTGACAAATATAAAATCAATATCATATTTCCATATGTATATATAATATAAAGGCAAATTTGGAAAACCCTATGGGTGTCAAATCCAGCGAAGTCTGTTCCAGGACTACAGCTTTAGGTGATCTGTTAAAAAAAATGCTGAGTGGATGACAGATGAACGACAAAAACAGCAAAAGCAACTGTTTCCATGACGGAGATTCAAGAGTCTTTATTATAATTATGCAAGCATAACAAAATTAAGACAATACTCCCTCACGTGATGCAAAAACTTCTGACAGAAATATAAATACAAAATACAGTATTTAAACATTAAATATATACCGACCCGTATTTAAAAGTTTATACATAGTTATGACGACAAGATGACAGGTCATACAAAGTTTGGTTAAAGAATTAATGATTTACAGGAATCACATTTCTGCAGCGACGTGCCCACACTCTCTGGCACCATCATCAAAACACCATAAAAAGAGATCATTTGTAAAGTAAAATATATGTAGATAAACACTTGACAAATTAAAGGAAAAAAGTATAGGAGGCATCTTAGTAAGCTGCTGTTCCACCACACATCTGAATACCAGGTTTCTAAGATGTACTTTTATTACCCATCAGCCATAATAGGCTGATGGGGTATAGTCGTCACACTGTTGGGCAGCTAAATTTGTGAATGCCATAACTCATGAACTGACCATCAGTGGTCTGTTTCAGTGAGGTTTAGTAACTGAAGGCCTTCATCATCACAGTAGAAGTGTTTTACCATAAGATAAAGGCGATCACTCGTGGCTTTTCTTTCAGCTTACTATCACCTCAAGAATATATCAAGGATAAAAGATCTGATGTCTCAACAGGACCTGGAAAAACTAGTCCATGCATTCATCTTTAGTAGGCTTGACTACTGTAACAGCATCTTTACAGGTCTACCTAAAAAATCAGTCAGACAACTACAGCTCATTCAGAACTCTGCTGCTCGAATCCTCACTAAGACCAAAAAAGTGGACCACATCAGTCCAGCTCTGAGGTCTTTACACTGGCTGCCTGTCCGTCAGAGGATAGACTTTAAAGTTCTGATGCTGGTCTATAAACCTCTGAATGGTTTAGGACCAAAATACATCAGTGACCTCCTGACCCAGTATGAACCTTCCAGATCCCTCAGGTCATCTGGATCCGGTCTTTTATCAGTTCCCAGAGTCAGAACCAGACACGGAGAAGCTGCATTCAGCTTTTATGCTCCTTATATCTGGAACAAACTCCCAGAAAGCCTCAGATCAGCTGAAACAGTCAGTTTATTTAAATCCAGGTTGAAGACTCACCTGTTCTCAGCTGCATTTGAATAAAGCAACAAATCCGCACTTAAGCTTAAATTTCAAAACTTACATTTTAACTACTGATTTTATCTACTGTTCTGATTTTACTGACTGTTTTTAAAAAAAAATCAATTTTAAATCATGCTTTTTATTTGTTTTTTAATGTCTCTGTAAAGCACTTTGAATCACCTTGTTGTTGAATTGTGCTATTTAAATAAACTTGCCTTGCCTGAGAGAGTCTGACCATGCCCTGAGGATGAGCTGCACCCCCCTGTCTAAGCCTTTCTGCTACATGGGGGAAACGATATCTTCTGATGTGTCCTGATTTGATTCTTCCGAGTTAATTTCTGAAAATATATGCAGAGAGGCACTGCGTTGCGTGGAAGCATTTCATTACATTGTTTTTGTTTCTCCAGTTAACTTTTATATGTTTTTCCCCTTTATTTTCTGACTCATGTAACATATAATCATAAACAATAGATATAACCTTTAAGAGCTTTTTGCAGAATAGTGACTGTGATATGGATCTGTCCTAGGTAATGCTGCTCTGGAGTTCGAGGTGGAGGTGATTTCACTCTCGCAGCAGACGCAGTGGCAGAGGATGGTCAACGATGTGTTCCCCCTGGTGTGTTTGGCCCTGGTGCCCACTCTGCTGGGCTTGGTGGGACTTTACCTCTACAAAAAGGCCAGTGCCCAGAAGGCTAGCAAAAAGAAGGCCAAGGATAAGAAGAGCAAGAAGAAATAAGGACAAATCACTGAACTATTTAAATAAATGTTTTTTTTTAATTGAACTTGTTCTTTATGTTTGTGTTGAATTGAGATGAGATGGATTTAGAGTAGGTCCTTGTCCATTGGTAGTATGCCAAGACTTTAAAGGCTGTTATGTGCTAAGTGTCCTCTCAGGACAAACAGAAAATTACAGGTGAAGAACCTGAAACTGACAGTGCTTGTATCTGAACAGGCTCTTTCTAGGAGGTTAGGCTCACACTGTATTCAGATCTGAATTCAAATGTATATTTAGTCCATGCAGCATGCCAGCTTCAAACATACATACAGAAGCACTGTCCTGCGTTGATCTGACAGGTGGAAATCATCTTGGGAGCAATTGAGAGAGCAGAGAACAGCAAATACAGTGACATAGAAAAGTGGAGTGTGTGGGTAGGATTAATAAGAAAGGTATTTTAATTTTGAAGTTTAACAGCAAAGACTCACAGGTCAAATATTAGTATTTAGTGGATGTGTCCAGACACACATCATATCATCATCCAGGGAGTTGGCTGTCATAATCCTGATAAATTTCCTACAGTTCAGTCACTGAAAAGAAAGATCACATTTACTTTATAGCAATACTAATTTGGGCAACTGGTAAGCTGTAAACCAATGGAACAGCAGACTTTTAGATGTTTATTTATTACAAAAAAACATAATTTGTTAAAAGTTATTTCACCAGAAGAAACATAAAGGGACTGTTTAGAAGCACCTGCTTCACATCCTCATGTAACAACAGCGAGTTTAAACCACCTTTTTTTATTTGGGCCTTTTGTTTGAAAATATTTTAAAGACTCTCTTTTGTAAGGACCTGCTCATTTGTGTACAGAGAAAGGACAGGAAGCTTTGAAAGATGTCCACTGAATAGGCTTATGTTTAAAGACACATTAATTAAAAGCCAAATTGTGGTGTGCCACTAAGAGATATTCTCTGCGGTACTGATCATCACCTAATAAGTCCATAAATAAATTGGACCATTTTTCCTTTTTGAAGATAACTCGCATGAAACCCCAAGATCAAGTTGTAAAAAGAGTCATGTGGACCTTAATCAGAATACATTCATGAAAAATTATTCTAATGTGGTATTATCAGCATTTCACCTGCTTTTCTTTTGAGCACTACACTGTCCTTTAAGCACAGTGACTCATAATGTCTTGTAGCTTTATTGCAACTACACAGCCAATTTTGGTCTAGTTAAACACTGTTTCCTGGAAAAGAAAGAGTGTGCCAGTATAATAATACAATACAATATAATAATAATGATGATGTAATATAGTAATTTAATACAATTCTGCTGTCAGATTAAGAAAATATCTTCAGGTACTGGTGTTATTATCCATACTGATATTTATATAGTGAACTTAAAGGCCATTTTGCTGTGAACCCCAAGTTTTATATATTCATACATATGTATATATATAGAGAGATAATGTGATTAATTTATTTGACTCTCATTTCAATAACAATTAGAACCTGTTGTTTAGCTAGACAAATCCAGTTTTTAACGGGCTTTAGTCGCAGGTGAGCTTGTTTTAATAACCGGTTAGGCCGATGACACCGCCTTTGCCGTTCCAGCATTGCCTTAACTGTTAACTCCGCTCACTCGGGAGACGCGTGGAGTTTTAAGCGCGTTTTGATATCCCTCCGCGAATTTAATGTTGTTGTTTTTGTTATTTCCCATAAAAAAATCAATATTTTTGCTTTTGTTTCAGCCTAGTGCACAATAGCCACATTTCTTTTGCAAATATTGAAAAGTAAAGCAAGACATCAATGGACTTTGTCGTTTTGTTCGTAACATTTAGAGGGCGGAGCATCCGCACTACTTCTCACGGTGCAACCTCTTCCGGTCCTCTTTCCAGCTTCCCGTGCAACATGGTGAGTGTGTTTCACTGATGGCCGAATCGTGAAAACAGAATAAACCTATGTTTTAGTCGACTAGTGGCACATAATTACATTTCTTTGGGTATTTTAATCCCACGTGTAAGTCACAAAACTGAGAGTTGATATTAACTGTCATCCTGGAAGATTAAAAATGAGTTTGGGCCTAATGCTAGCCGTTAGCACGCTAGCCATTTTGTGCATGTGTTCCGTGTGCTAGCAAGGGATAACGACGGTGCAGGTTTGGGCTGTAACATAGCTAAGAGATGCGGCTAAAAAGAAAAGCCACATCACAGCGATTGACAAAGCAACCGATAAAATATAACAGTTCATGGTTAAAAATGTGTTTTTCAGTAAGCCCCAACCGTGACTTGAGTCAGTCATACCGTGTAAGAGTGATAGATGATTGTACAAAACTCAATAATCATTAAATGTCTCGTGATTGATGGCATTAGTTCATACGTGTATGTGGAACTAGATTGCACGTGCATCAGTTTAAGGGGTTCCCTTAAACTGATGGTTTATAATTCCCTTGGTTTATAATGGAGCACTGTAACAAAAAAATAATTTCCCCCAGGGATCAATAAAGTATTCTGATTCCCACCAACGTTGAGACGTTATAGTAAACTAGACCGTCAGTTTGAAGCGACTGCTTTGTGGCCAGTGTTAATAACTGGTGTGGCTGGGTGGTGGTGAAAAGGTTTTGAAACCAGTGTTGATGTGGGATTTCAAGGGGAAAGCAGATATATTCTTGTGATTGTTAATTGTTTCCACCTTAACACAGCTGAATTTTTGAGACTGCCTAATGTAGTTCTCTGTTTTAACATTTTACTCAGGTTTACTTTGTCATTGGTAACCCTTATTGTGTTTTGGCAGACCAAGAAGAGGAGGAACAACGGTCGTGCTAAGAAGGGCCGTGGGCATGTGCAGCCCATCCGCTGCACCAACTGTGCCCGTTGTGTCCCCAAGGACAAGGCCATCAAGAAGTTTGTGATCAGGAATATCGTGGAGGCGGCAGCCGTGAGAGACATCTCAGAGGCCAGCGTCTTCGACTGTGAGTGTATTGTATTGTACTTAATTTCATAAAACCCCCTTTTCATCCCGATGATTTGACTCATCTGTACCTTTGTCCACTCTGCAGCATATATTCTGCCCAAGCTCTATGTGAAGCTGCACTACTGTGTCAGCTGTGCCATCCACAGCAAGGTGGTGAGGAACCGCTCCTGTGAGGCCAGGAAAGACCGCACCCCACCACCCAGGTTTAGGCCTGCTGTAAGTACTATTTAAACACAGTTCTTACCTCCTGTTGTGTAGCTCCATTAAGTGTTTAGAATTATTTTTGTATAGCACCTTAATTAGGTAGATAATCTCATTACTAATAACAGGAACACAAAAGTATAACTTGGGCAAAGTTCCATCCGTGGTTACACCTGTGTAATCTAAGAATGTTTCTCTTTTACAGGCTGGTGCACCAAGAGCTCCTCCGAAGCCCGTGTAAAGCAGAAATTGAAAATGCTGTAAACCTGACAAATAAATGGAGAAATCTTCACAAAAACATGAACGTGTGAAGCTCATTAATTGAACGATGTTTACTCGTAGGAAAGACAAACTGCTCAAATATTTTATTTGGAATAACTTTTTTTACAGTACAAAACTAACAGTAGCTTAAGATCAAATTATGCAAATGCAAAATTACATATGATACATTTAAAAACGCTCTGCGGTTACTTAAAGCGATATCAGACCACTTGGAGAGCAGGGAAATGCAGGTTAGAAAAACTGAAAAGAACAAAGTGCAACAAGGAAAGTTTAAAAACACGGAATACCACAAAGCTGGAGTTTATTTTTGTAAGTATAGGCTAAAACTGGAGTAGACTGTTTATTTGGTTGTCTTTAAGATTAAAACAAAGGTGGCTGGGTGTAAGCTGAGGAGCAAACAGCATTGGTACCACATGCATCAGGTTTAAAAGCACATTACCATTGTAGCACACATGAATTAATGGTGAATTTGCTCCACTAATAATGCAGAACTTGTTAATTAAATATCCAAATTCTGTCAAAGAACTGAACCATTGAATAGAGTAAAACCTTTTTACTTTGAATGTTTTTGTACAATATTTCACTGAAGGTCAACAAAACTGGATACATCAAATATTAAGTTATTTCAGTATTTTTCTTTGGCTCCTAAGTAGCATTACCCAAGTCCTTTTGATGAATTAGTATTTAATGGATTGTTGGTTTAAAAAAAAAAAAAAAGACTAGTTTTGGGCAGGGTCACTGAGTGGTGGGTCGAGGTATACTCAAAACATGGAGCCTCTTGCACTAACACAGCATAAAGTTTCACACTGAAAATAAATTTGAACCGTTTAGACATAAAACACATTTAAGACCTCCAGCTGAAGGCACAGCAGCAACAACCCAATTCACGCACGTCACACCAACTGGAGAAAAGTCACGTGGGCCTAAATGAGAATATACACAGTGTAAGATGATATGAAGTGACACTGCTAGCTTTGGTGTTACTGCAAATGTTTTGTAGATTTTTAGACTCCCAAGAAACTTTCAGATTCTGATTTGCAAACTAACGTCAGTCCCAACTTAATTTAACAGTCTGCTCACAAATTAAGGCAAGATGATTAGAATATTAAAGTAACCTGATGAGAAACAAAAATTTAAAATGTGTTTAGGTTGTGTTACTAGAGTGGCAACCAGATCACCTTACTGCACTTTGACAATAAAGGACTGAAACAATAACCAAACAAATGTAGATCCACTTGTAACAATTAATCCACCATCAAATGAAACAAGCTGAACATTATGTCATGTATTTTCAAAGATCTTCTGCAAAGAGAAAAAAATTTGAATATATCAAGGCTTTAATAACAGCGTTATTAAAAGAACAAGAACACCTTGAGGTTTTCTTGTAACTTATACTTTATGTACAAATATTATTTACTTTATGTTTTCATTTTTTTGCCACTGTAGTAGGGAAAAGTGCTTAACAGTAGGAAACAGTGGTTCTTTGGCTCAGCATTGGGGAAATTATTTGGTGCTTATAGAGAACCACGGTACTGCTGATCTTAAAAACAGTTTAAAAATGATTTCTACTGTTTTATTTCTCTTTGTAGAACAAAACATCCAGAAAGCTGTTTAAATATAAGTCAAGATAAAGTTCAGTATTCTCAAACACTGACATGACCCAAAATATGCTTAGATCTGACTGTGAAGGTTCTACAGGAAGTAATATTTCTTGGGCATCCATTATGAAAATAGGACATACCAGTTATAACTACAAGGGAAACTTTACTCAATAAGACACTGTCTGAACTTTAAAAAAAAAACCTAATGGGATCAAGTTATTTGATGAATTTGACTAGAGTCACTGTTTTTCCAGTCTTCTCTGCAAATTTCTGTGTATCTTTGGTAAATCTGTCACCATGTCCCAGATTGATCTTTGTTGTTGTTGAGGATGTGAAAAGAAACCCTAGCTACAGTCAACATCAATTAAGTTTTAATTTTTGTGCACAAGTCTGCAATTTAGAATTCAAAGCATCCTTCTCAACAGTAAACGTATTGTGCTTGTGTTAAACTAATTACTCACAGAGATTACAACAACCATCTCTGCTGTTTTAACATGAAAATAAATAGAACCAAAAGCTGACACATTTGTCTTCACATTTCATTTCCACACAAATGACCAAGACAGGATATTTTTCCCCCCTTTGTGTGTGTGTGTATATATATATATATTATATAATATATATATTATATATATATATATATAATATAATATATATATATATATATCCCAAGCGATATGAAAGACTCCCATTTCGTGCTATTGTAAATCAAGCGACTGGTTTAAAATGTCCTAACAGGAAAAAATGTAAATAAAAGTCTTTGTTTCTAACCCATGAGGACGGTAGTGAAGTGCTACTGATTTACTACACACCCATGTCATAGCGGCATGTTTCAAAAGCCATGCACATTTCATCATCATCAACATTGCTCAGGCATCAGAATTGATCTTTGCTGATAAAACTGTTGGGGGTGGTGGGGGGAGCCAGACTTCTGTTAGATAGATTAAAAAGCTACAGTCAAACTACAAGACAGAAATGATTTTATATCTCACATCCTTCAGTCTGGTCAGAAACGTGTAGAAAGGCACGGGACAATGACGCAACACCAAAATCATGTTTAAATACAGCATAAGCAGATTTGTTGATTATTATTGTTGGTTTGCAGTATGAGGGAGTTTTTGTACGGGGAGAAAACAAAAACCTTAACCTCCTTCGGTAATCTCTCAAGTTGTGGCAGTGATGCTCGAATCCTGTTCCTAGTGAGAAAAACATTCCACCTGTTTTTCCTCACATTTTCAGAGAAATGTGCAGGTCATTAATGTATTCTATAAAATAGTTTAATATAGTCATTGTATTCTGGCAGGTATCAGTGCAACAAAAGCAGTTATAGAAAAGGAAAACAATTCATACACTTCCAACACGGCATTCACTCACAGGAATAAAGGCCTTCATTTTCCATTTTACGTTTTAAATTTACTTTCAAAAACAATCACACACAATCTTGCAGCTTTCCTTTCTCTCAGACACACACACACTCTGTTCACTCCATTCACACTGAAACCAAAGTGCATTTCTATTCCAATGACAACCCCTCAAACATTAAAGTCTACATGACTTGGACTTGGTTTTTAAGTTTGGTCTGCACTTTACTTTGCATTATAAAACTTGTACAGAATCAACCCTGGGCTAGGAAAAAACCTGGCCGAACCTAAAGTCTGTTTGAGAATCACTTAATTGGAAAAAGTGCTTTTAGAAGGTGTCAAAAAAATTCTGTAGGGATTGCAAGCCTACAAACTTTATATTTAGCATTTTCTTTCATCTCTGCTAAAGTGTGCAAGGGGTGAAAGATTTCAGCAACAAAAGTCAGATTTGTCTACAATAATGTGTGCAGCAGAGCTAAAATTCTGAATTTTAGAGCAAGGCACATCTGTGGATGAAAAAGTGTTGGCTCTTCATCTACTTTAATAATTTAATATAGATTTCTTGTTAAAAGTGGACAGAAAGCAACTACTACTCTAATTCTTTAAACATATACACGAGCTTTCCACTAATGCCAACTGTGTCAGTGTCGTTACGAACATCAGTTTCACATCATCACAGATGCCTTTCGCTTTTGTGCAGACCAAACTCAACCAGTTCCCATTCTCAGTGTAAAATAAAAAAATTAAAAAAACTAAGGGCAGCAGGCTGTCCTTTTATTCTCAGTCAAAGATGTGCTCTCCACGGACAATGTGCGAAGAAAATTCATAGCGATCCTGGCTGCGATGGCCACAGATGTTGCACTCAAAAGGCTGCCGAAAACCATGGCAACCCATGTGGATTGTAAACATAACATGGTCCAGGAAAAGCACGCGGCAGTGCTCGCAGCGGAAAGAGCGCACAGCTCGCCCCTCCCCGTCTACAACCCGAAAAGTCTCCTTGGAGGTAGAAGAGGGTGCCGTAGGTGAGCTTGGTGTTGGAGCATGTGTGGGAGGAGGGAGAGCAGAATGGCCTCCATCCTCTCTTTTCATCTCCCGGTCTTTGGCATGACTGGGGCTGTGTCTGCCCCGACTCCTGTGGTGTGCGATGGGTGGAGGTGCTGGGTTATGGTTATTAGAGTGGAGGAGGTGATGGCCGTTGTTACTGTACAAAGTCGGAGTCGGAGCACAGCTGTTGTAAGGCTCATCTGCCATGCTTTCTGTGTCCGTAGAATCCTGGCAGCCATTGCTAGGAGAAGGGGCGTGATTTCGACCCGGAGGCAGGTCTTCGTGACCCTCTGCTGCCTCTCTGCTCCCAACACCCACAGCTCCCAGGCCAGCTCCTGCCCCTGTGCAATCTAACCTTGGCCCAAGGGGAACAGGAGCATGACTGAAGCTGTGAATCGGCTTGAGTTCTGATAAACTTGAAGAGTGACTGGTGGGAAGGTGCAAGGATCTGAGTGTGTCTGATACCCCTCCTCTTCCAGTACCTGCAACACCTACATATTCTCCTCCCAGACCAGTAAAGTGTGGGGCATCAAGGTCCACTGGGTGCATGTCTCCATCTTTATCCAAACTAGCAGTGAGCTCGTAAGGTGTATCTGCAAGGTTGAGGCGTATGTGCTTCTGCCCTGCAACACAGAAAGATATGACTTTATAATACAGTACAATGACAGTCAGCATTTTGGATACATTCTCTATTTTACGATGATGCTGGTTATTTTCCTAATTTTACAAGATGCTCAAAACTTAGTTTTTTCTTTGTGTGTTTCTTTTTTCAGTTAGATTGCTATACTGAGAGCAGCTTTCAGACCTTTCCTAACCAAATAAATACTGTGTGCTAATTGGATATCTAAAATTATAGTGGCTGGTAATATAAGCACAACAAAAGATTTCTGTCTTACTTCATGCTGTATTCCAATTCAAGTAATGATTATTGCTTTCTGAGTTTCCTGAAACCGTCCACACTGAGACCAAATGCTCACCTACAAATTTTTGTGGCGTGGATCTCTTGCGTTTGGTGATGCTGTTGGCGAGCCGATCGATAAATGCCATCTTGTCTGAGGATGGCTGCAGTAGAGGATCTGGTATAAACTCTAGCTCTCTCATTTCCTCTCCTGTACAGAGTATAAACAAACTATTATTACTTTTATTTTAGGATTTTCTATTTGTGTTTGCCTAAATTCCGGTTTGGATAAAGTGGGTTCTAAGCGTTAACTTGCTAAGCTGGCAAACTACATGTCTACATTAGATGCTACTACACTCCCTTTAGGAGGCTGGTATTTCTTTAACACCATACTGTGCAAGTTATATCTATGAACACATACCTGAATTTGGTGCACTGGTTGGCTGCTGGAAATCCAGACTCTGTAAATAGCTATGACAGCGCTCACGGTGCTCCTCCAGAGTGCTTTGCTGCTTGTAACTACGGCCACAATAGCTGCACTTATACGGCTTCCCAACAGTTGGAGAAGACACTGGTAAAACAAGTGGAAATACAGCATTTTCACTGTTATTGTACACTACAATGGAAAAAAAAAACTGAAGCAAACAACACACAAACACCTACCGGGCTTGAATCTGTCCTACCTGCATGAGTGCGAAGATGGCCGGTAAGTGCATCCCGTCTTCGACAGGCATAGCTGCAGAAGGGACATTTAAAGGGCTTCTCCCCTGAGTGCAGCTTGATGTGGCGGAGTAGGTTTCCCTTTTGAGTGAAGGACGCGCCACACTGATTACACTGAAATGGTCGCTCACCTGTAGAAAACTTAAACTTGGTAACTCAACCTCTTAAGCATAATTTCTATTTCAAAAAATTTGAGTTAGTTGCAACTATACCTCAAAGGGGTTTTTTTAAGTCAATATAGTACATCAATTGTATACAATGCTGATTTTCTATAAAATTCCAAGATGTCCCCCCCCTCATCTGACCTAGTTTCATTAATAACAAGCAAAGATACCATCTCTATATTTATCCAAACTCAACTGACTGATCACCTGTGTGGCTGCGTTTGTGCACCATAAGCACATTAGGCCCAATGCAGATCATTCCACAGATGTCACACTTGAGCTTTCCATTTGGCAGTCTGGTGGCTCCACTTGGCATAGTTTCAGAATTGGTGAGCTCTCTATAGCTTGTGACAGCCTCAGAACCTTGCTCTGGACCTCCTTCCTCCACCCGCTCTCCTCGCTCATCTTCAGTACTCCGACCTGGGTCTTCATCACTATACAACTCCACTTTAATGGAGTTGGCTACAGAAGTACAAGCGCATTTGTGTTATACAGCAAAACAATAATCGGAAACACACCAGCAAGCCTACTTCAGACTGGCTAAAAAAAAAAAAAAATAAAATAAAATAAAAAAAGATTTTGGAGTGGCCTAGTCAGTATCCGGACTTAAATCAGATTGAGATGCTTTGGCATGAGCTTAAACAGGTCATTTATGTTTGAAAACCCAACAGTGTTTTCAAAACATTTTGAAAACAATTCTCCAAAGATGGGTGAGCCAAAATTCCTCCACAGCAATGTGAAAGAATCACTGCTAGTTATCACAAATGCTTGATTGCAGTTATATATGTTATATAATGCATTTGCTTGGATTATATTTAAATTTTGTTCGGTGATCTTAAACATGTAACAGGGAAATCATGGGATGTAGTTCACAATGCTGTAAAATACTTTCCCCAGCACTGTAGGGTGAATAGTGCTGCTCCAGTAAGTTAATTTAAAATTCATATTATTAATGTATAAACATAATCTGATTATGAGAAGAAGATTATAAAAATATTTATCTAGATTAGAAAATAAAAATTTGACAATCACACTGAGAGAATAAAAAGCTTCATATAGATGGAACTAATGAAGATGCTATAAGTTCTCACTGACCACTGAGGGAGCGACTGGGAGAGTTTTCCTTGCTGTTTGGGGTGCTCACTGTTGGACCTCCAAGAGCTCCAGAAAACTCTCTTTCCAATGAAGAGTCTCCACTACCTGCTGCCAAGAAAAGAACCAAAATAAGATATATCATTTAAAAAAAAAAAAAGCCTAATTTAGAAGGTAAGTATATATGGGTGACTAAATAAATCAGAGCTGCACCTGATATGTAAGACCGTCCATTGCAGTCATCAACATCCATACTAGTTCAGACTGAATACTGAAATGACATTTGTGACAAACATAAATTCTCTTTCACGCACACAAACCTAACCATTTGTCTACAATCGCTTAATTCTTTAAACATGAATTATTGCAGGTTGAGGTCGGAACGTGACATTTTCTGAAATCAAGTAATTGTGGTGTGGCTTAGATTGTAAACAGCACGTTAGACTACACCCCTTTCAATTAACAAAGGGATAAAAAACTAAATAAACGCTTACATTTAATTTTCTAACTAAGACGTAATATCGTTAATTTGTTGTTGCGGTGCAAGAACGGCCATTCATTTATAACAACAACAATTTAAAAAATCAAATCAAATCCGTGTCTGTTGCTATCAATAAGATCAATCGTGCAAAAAAAATAATTAACTAGCAGCTAATCTCAGCATCGTACCTAACCTTACCAACCCCAGATAAGACTCCCTAACAATTGAGGTGAACGATGACAACGCTGCTAAAGTGACTTAAAGTTGCGCTAATCTAACATGAGAAAGATTAAATCGGAAATTGAGACAATAAACGACAAAAAACGGTGCAAACGTTTACATAACGGTGGCGTTGAGGTAACCTAAGTTTACGGCCTTGGCGGCTAACGTTAGCCTACTGTATGTGATGGAAATTACCGTTGGCCAAGTTAGCTAAACTTAACACTTTAACGTTACGGCGGTGTGCCATCACCGACAGCTTGCTAGAAAGCACGGAGCAAAGTTGGAATTAAGTAACATGCGCGGCGATGCGAGTAGATAGCGCTGACTTGTGACAATAATTAACTAGGGCTGACTTGGACACTCCTCGGCGTCGTGTTTAACGCTAGCATAACAAACCAACGCTAGCCTAACGAGCTAGCCACTACTGCCAGTGTTTCCTAAACGGTTGCTATGGCACCCACAGCCAGCCACAATGCTACAGCTTGCCCGCTAGCTGTTGGCCTGCTCCCCTAGCAGCTTTAAAGCTGACTTGTATAAAACAACACCACAGAAGCAGTAGTTTTAAAGCTGCCCAGTTGTCCAGTAACTACTAAATTACCTTTCCCTGTAAGGGCCGTTTCAGTGAGCTTATTCCGTATTTTCATCTGTTTGATTATGACAGCAGCATTTCCTGGCAGGGTTTACCTCCAGCTTCAAATAATTTCCGGGTTACATCTCCAACGCAGCAACAGCTACCCGTTTCCCAGAGCTCTGGTTAACTGCACAACCATCACCCGGCTCACAAAGCAAGCGTGCAAATTAATTTGTAATAATTTATGTTGAATATTAAATTAAAAATATTTTCAACACAACCACTTTTAGTTACAAATAGCCCAAGATTTCTTTGTTAATGGTTTCTTCAAAAGTAACCTTGTAAACCTTAGCTGTGCTGCTATATTCTTTTAAGAGAGAAGATTGTTTCTCATGGCAACCCTTTAAAAACAAGTCATACTTGTTCAGTCATTTTCTAATTGTACTGTCATGAACTTTATGATTTACATGCTAACTGAGGAATATGGAGTCCAAGATGTGAGTCTTGGGGGGGTTTGGGCATTTTTTCTGAGCACTGCATGGTTTGACCTTGGCGTGAATTTGCTAGCACATCCACTCCTAGGAAGATTATGGCATTGTGTTAACACACACCAGATGCTAAGCCTGTGGGTTCTATGCAGTATGCTTTCTGTTCCTAGGACTGCATTCTTCTGGAGAGAGATTTCTTTACAGCTCCTGATGGTTCGTACCATCAATTCCCAGTATGTCTTGTCTTAAACGAAATAACTAAATGGTGAGGTATGCATCTTCACTGTTAGAGAATACGTTTTTTTTTTAAACATGATTATGACTTCAGCTGAACATATAAACAAGTCACTCAAATAAATGTATTCCGCTGCGGCATTGTTTAACCCAGCCTAAATAAATAATTAAATACACGTTTCTTTTTATTTCAGTTTTATTATATATGTTTGTGGCAGCTGGCACTAGCACTAATTTCTTTGCACATTTTCCCGGTGGTGCTCATACAGGTTTTAAAGACCTGGGCAAAGGTTTTAGTCACTGATCCAGCAATGAGTGATTCCTCTTCCCATCAGACTGTTTTTAAATGTGTTTTGCATCAATATACAGATAATTGTACTCAGCAAGGAATCATAATACTTTTCCCACTACTGCTGTGGATCAGAGCTGGGTACTTTTCTCTTCCTGCCACATACTCTACTGTGTTTACAAAAGGTAAATTGTGTGGTTTTTTCCAGTGTATTAAAATGATATCCTTTAGCGGTTATCTTTGAGATTCATATTTTGAATAAATACATTATAAGCTGATGAAATGCATTTTAAAAAGATTTAAAAAATTAAAAGTAACTGAAATTATTTTGTGAACAAACCAAAAGGAAATAAAACATTTAGAGGAAATGTTGTTGTAGTATTTGTTGGTTTGGTAAAATTTGTTATTACAACATGTGTGGTGATATTAAGGCTTGTTTCTGCCACTGAAGAAAAACGACAACAAAAAGAAGTAAGTGAAAAATGTCAAGTTATTATCTCCAATTTTCACGTTAGATAGCCTGATCAACTTACAGGAAAAAAAATGAATTAGTGGTGGAAACAATCTTCCTTATGATGACACTTTGGTGGATGTGTTTATTGAGACCTTGGATTTCTACAAGACTGAACGTTATACTCGTTTTCCTAAATCGTGCGTCTCACATATGCCCTCCAAACAATACTTACAAAGACTGAAACTGACTAACTAAATAAATAAATAAAAAAATCTGAACATTTTCAAACAACAAAAACTAAACTCAAATGGTCAAACCTGCTATGAAACTAACTGAAACTAAACTGAATTAAGAATAATAATAAAATAAAAGTTTAAAAAAAAAAACCCTCCCTAAAAACTAATTAAATAGTCCAAACCTATAACTCCTCCTCTCTCATCCCAGCTTCTTGGTAACCATGTCAAATATAACAGTTAAAATAAGATATAAATCCACAATTTCTGTTCATCCATATATGTCCCTTATATTTTTTAAACCATTTATTCAACATCAACATATTTTAAAGAACAACAATTATATTCTGCAAATTGTTTCCCACAGCGTGTGTGCAATCAACTTCCTGAAACCTACTTGGCCTGGAAAAGGAAGAGACAAAAAAGTAAGCAATATGACAAAAAGGAGTTGACATGTGCTAATACCATGGCTAGACCAAAAGTCAGTCCTCTTTGGCATATTTTTTCCCAATCTTTTCTGAGTGTCATTTTAACATGTTACCCAAATAACTACATTCATTCTCGACTTTCACACTACATCACATTCTGCAGCTGACATCTTTTTCCAAGAAAACGCTAAAACTAGCACAGATATGCAACTCTGGTACTATACATATAAAACAAACATTACAAACATTTATTAAAAACATATGAAATATTATTAAACAGTCCTGAGTATGTATTTGCCAGAGATACAGTAATTTCTTTTAGACTTCAGCGGGTCCAAAATTACTAACAAATCTCTCTCCACACAATATCTTTAAAATTGCATAGCACACAACAAATAATATATATCATAAAACGTTTACCTTTGATTTATTGCTTATTATTATTTTTTAAGTAAATTGTCCCCCAATTGTAGAATGCCCCCTAAGTCTAAAAAAAATCATGTCTGCACTGAAGCTTGGAAAATCAACACTGCTTTATCTGACATTTCTCCGGGTACTGTGCATTGAAGGTCGGTCTGGAAAAGTCTAAAAAAAAGTAAGTATGATGGTCACGCACACGCTGGGACGTACAAAGAGTGACCTCTGCTGTGCAAACGGCCCGTGCCGCTCTGACGTGTGGGCTGATTTTACGACGGTGTGCTTACACAATGACAGTTTCCGTCAGTTTGACTTGCAGATAGCAGCGACCGCGTTGAACCAGCTTTTTTTTCCTCCCCCCCTCCCCGTTTCCACTTTGGGTTGAAACGACAGTTACATCCTTTCAGAATACCCACCAGAATCGATGATGTACTGGATGAAGGCAGGGGCTTAGTTTTATACGACTATAAGCTGTATTTACGGTAGCTAAACTCTGCAGTTCCAGTTTGAGGCCCAGCGGAGAACTCGAGCGGCGGCTCGAAAAAGTTTGTTGTTGTCACGTGACGCGAGACGAATGTGGCGATAAAAGTTTGCTTAGATAGTAAATATAGGTGGCGTACTACATTTTTTCAAAGACCTACTCAACACCGTTTTTCACTACAATGCCTCAACCGAAATACAGAAAGATCGCCGTTATAGGTTACCGGTCTGTAGGTGAGTACAGGTTCGAGCTCTTGCACAGCTAGCTTGGGTAACAGGCTAACGTCCTGGCTTTGTTTTCCTTGTGAGCGTATCCGAAGTACAACAGTAACGCTAGCTTATCTTTGTTTCTCAGGGCTCTTTTTTTCTCTGCTACATTAACTACTAAAGCACCTTCAAGTCAACCAGTGTTGCTGTACAGTTGTATCCACACGTTTCTAGATGAAAGGTGACCGGTGAAAATAAACTTAGCCGGGGATACCCTGGTGGAGTGCCAAGTAATGTGTGCTCCAAACTTCTAGTTTAGCAGGTCAATCATAACGTCCAGATTTTAAGAAACTCAATCTGCAACAAGAATAAACCTCTTATTGTATTATTTAAATTAGTTTAAATTATAAAACCTCATTGTGTGACCAATGAAGCGCCATAATTTGTTGTTCTGGCCTAGTGTCTTTTTGTTTACACAAGTGTCGGCGTCTGTATTAAAAAGGAGAGTGTAAAGTATGTCCTTTTAAAATCTGTTGTTTTAAAAAACAAAACAAAACTCTTGAAAGAGAGTTTCTTTCTAAAAGTCTACAAATAAATCAACTACAGTTTTGAATCAGCATCGGTATAGTAATAGGTGCATGTGTTTTACAGAGAAATATCAGTATTTGTCACAGAAACTAAAAATGAAACTAAAATAATAAAAACCAAACTGAAATGAACAAACCCACTAACTGAAAACTAAACCTAATTACCTAATTAGAAATTATTTTTAAAAAGTAAAAATTCTGGTATTTAAAGAAATATACATGTAATTTAACTTAATTGTTAGTATCTTTAAGATTTAAGACTTTGTACAGTACTTCCTTTAAAACTGTGTTCTTTTGAAATAGCACTTAAAAATGTTTCTCTTTCTGTATGTCCATAATTAAATAATCTACAGTTCTGATTCAGAAACTGTACTATAATATGTGCAGGTGTTTTACAGAGAAATATCAGGTTTTTTTGTCACTGTGAAAACTTTTATCACATCATTACTTAGATAAATTATAATTCTAAATTCATTTACATGCCTACATAAAATTTGTATATACTCATAAAACGTTTATAGCTGTAACAGAACATAACCCCATAGGAATGCTACATGTCAGCATTTTATGGTTGTATAGCAGATACGTCTACAGGGGTAGGCAACTCAAGGTCTCAAGTGCCGGTGTCCTGCAGGTTTTAGATGTGTTCTTGATCCAACACAGCTGATTCAAATGGCTAAATTACCTCCCCAACATGTGCTGAAGTTCTCCAGAGACCTGGTAATAAACTAATCATTTGATTCAGGTACGTTGACAAAGGGTGATATCTAAAACCTGCAGGACACTGGCACTCGAGGCAGTTGCCTATCAGAAGAACAGTCCTCCACCTTTTGCCAGCCATCCTTTGCTTTCATTACCTAACTTTTAAAACATGTTAGCTTATCTAGACACCACAGGGGGACTATAATTGGACATTAAAATAACTATGTGAAACATTTACTGTGGCAATACATCTTAAATTCCTGACCAGGTTACAGAATTTGTAGGATTTGTAGTGCTTTAAAATTACTTATCTACAGTATAAAGGCTTAAACGATCAAGAAATCAACAACAAGCACAAGATGTTTAAATCATGTCTCAGAATAATTGTAACTAACTGCATAATGTTTGTTTATGTTTTTATTTTATTTTTTAACGCTCAGGAAAGTCATCCCTTACA